GGAAAGAAATGTGGGTTCAAGAAGGTGAGTAGGGAGGCTGGAGAGATGGCTCAGTGGTTAAGAGCAGTGACTACTCTCCCAGAGGTCCTGAGTTCAATTCCCAGCAACCACATGGTAGCTCACAACCATCTGTAATGAGATATGATGCCCTCTTCTGAAGACAGCTACAGTGTACTCATATACATAGGATAAATAAATAAATCTTTTTAAAAAAATGAAAGTAAGTAGTTAAAGCTAGAGCTTGGTGCTCTGTGCGTGTGCCTGTGCATGTGTGTGTGAGACAAGTCAGGTCACATCAGCAATAGAGAGCCATAGAAGGCTCTGGGCAGCAATGGGCAGTGAGTTAACCCCCTCCAAGCTAAACCTGGCACATGACAAGCACTCTTCACCTTGCTCTGATCTGTTGTAGTAACTATCACTGAGCCAGAGGCTGAGTCAGCAGGTCTTGAGGAAGTTGTGGGTGATTCTGAAGCATGGCCAGAGCATATATCCACCAGGCCGGCTGCAGCATTAGCCTTTAGCATCTAGGAATAACCTTGAGGATTCTAGAGGTTCAGTCTAGGACCTGGAACCCAGTTAGTGATTGCTAAGTGTTTGTGAGGTCTAGCTACAGGAAGGATGATCAGGGGCAAGCAAGGGCTAGAAGCAGGAAAACTGCCAGGCAGGCTAGGCACTGAAGAAGAGAAGGAACTGGACTTGTTTGTGAGGCTAAGGGCTTTCAGGAGGGCTACAGGTAACTCCTAGGGTAGCCTGGGTGTTCAGTGGTGCTGCTTAGGGAGTGGAGCCAGCTGGCAGCTGTGGAGAGAGGCTGGGAAGCTGAAGGATAAGAGGAGGGTTGGTAGACCACCGTGTGTGTGTGTGTGTGTGTGTGTGTGTGTGTGTGTGTGTGTGTGTGTGTGTGTGTAGGGCCGCTGTCCATCCTGAATGAGGACACAATTTGGAGGGCAGAATCCTATTTTTGTCTTGTTTTGTTTGGAGGGATGCACATGGCATGGAATGTTGGGTGAAGGCAGACACCAAGAAGAGGCTGAAAGCCGAGGTACCAGATAGAGACTGACAGATGCAGGACCCAAAGGAGGAGAGGAGAGCCTCCTCCAGAGGGGTGTGAAGGCTATGAATGGATGAGAGAATTCAGGGGTTCTGCTATTCCTTGGGAATGGAGGCCCTGTGGCCGGGGAGTCCTTGTGAATGTGGGTTGGGTGGCTTCCTGGAGAGGCAGGCTTATGGCTGGATAGGTGGGGGGGGGTCCTGCTGGGGTGGGAATCTCACCTTGCCCGCTGCCTGGCTGGAACTGGTGGGCCAGGAGGCTGGGCTTGGATTGAGCTGTGGGAAGCTGCTCCTGGGCGTGAGGCCCATTCTGTGACCCAGCAAACCTCAGCCTCCAGGAAAGGCTAAATGTGAGGCTGTGGTAAAAAGGGAGGATGTGTGTGCCTGCGCCAAGCTGGAGCCCAAAGGAAAATGTGAGCCAGCTGTGAGCTGCTGTGACACATGCTTCCCGTGCCAGTGGCGATCGGGATCCTGATCCCATGTCACCCTGCCTCCCTCCAGGCCAGAAAAGAGCAAATGACCTAGAAAGGCTCAGAGGGGCCTCTTTTGATGCAGACCCTGCTCCCCAAGAAGGTTATTCCAGCCTTAAATGCACAGTTTTAGGGCATGTGGCAATGGGGATTCCAAGCTTGCTGTGCCCTGGCTTCTAGACTTTGGGGACCTTGGATGCCTGTCTGCATGAGGGGAAATGGAGAAAGCTTCCTGGAGGCAGAGGCAAATGTCAATCTGGAAAGCAATGGATAGGGAATGGCCAGCTGGAAGGTTCTACAGACTTTGATGCAATGCCCTTCCCTGAAAGAGAGGTCTCTTTACTTCAGACCTATGCTCTTTCTTTAGCCAAGGCTGGACAGCCACAGCCTGGGGGTGTTGGATGTGGATCACTCTCCCACTCCCTCCTGATTACCCATTCCTTTGGCGACCTAACATTGAAGCTGTGACTGCCCTTGTTGTGAGCTCCAGAGCCTCACTGTGGCCTGTGCCCTACCCATGGCTACCCATCAATCTGTACATCCACTCTACCCCCTGCTGTCCCTGTGCTGGGCCCTGAGCTAGGGGATGGATACAAAGCAATGAGAGGCAGGGTGGCAAGGGAGTCACTTTGCTTTTTCACCATAAACCTAGTAGCTGTGATGGAATCTGCCTTTGGTTTTTCTCCTGCCTCCTGACAGAGCCCTAAAAGTCATTAGAATTTTCAAAATAATTTGCATATTTGGCATGCTAATGTTGACTGATGGTATTGCCCCCAGGGAGCCTTGGTTTAGGCTTGGAAGCTGGGGACAGAAGGGGAGCTGAGCACTCTGCCGATTACCACTGGCCAAGGGTTAGTGAGTCAGGCCTGGTAACAAAGCCTCTGCAGAATTCCCAAAGGACTGGAGGGCGGGCTGCTGAGAGGCTCCTCTGGGTGTCTCTATAGGTGATGTTCGAGGAGGTGAGGAGGCCCTGTGTCCCTCTCCATGTGTCTCAGCGCAGGCATTGTTCTATGTGTACTCTGAAATCTTTGTCACAGATGGGGCGTGTGTGTGTGTGTGTGTGTGTGTGTGTGTGTGTGTGTGTTCCCCTGAGTTCTGTGAGCTGTGCTAACAAATGATTGTGGAAATCTCACAGGGCAGCCTAGGGGTTATGATAAGCACCTGCAGGGGGGAACAGCCTTGGGACTAAGTCGTCACCCTGGGGGACTCTGATAACTCCTCAGGTGGATACTGTCAGAGCCGAAGTGTTTCCCCTACTTCTGTCTGTTCCAGATGCCATGACTTACTTGTGTGTTATATGGGGACCCCCTACCTTGACCTTTGCTCACAGAGGCCAACTGTTACAGAAACAAAGCTTGTTTTTTTCCCTTCAGTATTTCAAGACCTGGTTTCAAAGCCTGTGGCCAGCCTGAGGTGCTATGTCACAGTGGCCTCCTTCCTCTGAGCTTTAGGTTATTCATGTTCAGAACAGAGATGGCAACTCAAATGCCAGACAAATGGCAGGATCAGATTTGCCATGAGAGCCTCTCGGTACGAGAATTTACCAGGAAACAATTACTAATACATCAGCTCCCAGTCACAGTGAGTCCCATGAGCTTACCCCCATGACCACGTGTGTCTTCCCCTATTGAACTAACTCATCCTGACCCATCTTTGGGATGGGTGCTAGTATCAGAATGGACCAGCAAGTGCTGGGCATTGATGGACTGAGGGTGGCAGGAGGAAGGGAAATAAGGGAAGTCTGCTTAGAAGAGGAGGCATGGACGCCAGTCTTGAAGGGGTGGCAGGGATCACTACAGTGAATAAGCCTTGAGCCAGGACAGAGAGGAGGTGTTTGGAGGGAAGCAGGCACTGGGTAGGTTGGGAGGTGGAGCTGTCATCCAAGAAGTGGGGCGGGAGGGCAGGGTTAGCAGAACTGTGGACCTGTTTGTTGTCTGTGACCTGAGGAAGGGTTTGCACACTGAGGAGCCACAGGTAACAATGACTGAGAGGCCTGGTTCACAAGAGAGAGTGGGCTGGGGGCTGGGAGGTGAGTGTGGATGATGCCCCAAGGTTGGTGCTGCCTCTTGGCCTCTGAGGCTGGACAGGGTATCTCTGGTCCCACATAGCGACTATGACCATCTTCAGGCCTAGCTCCTACTATCCATCGTTGTGGCAAGGGCATTGCCCTGTTAGACCTTGGTTATTAAGTCATTAGCTGGCCCTCACACTGCCTCTTCATTACGGTAATTATGGAGAATCCACTCAGGGAATTAGAGAGGAGGCTGCTTTCTCCCGGCTGTCAGGCTGCCAGTCACCAGCTAGGCCTGCTCCTACAGCCATGGAGGTCCCTCAGTTTCCCAGCAGGGGCTAGAGAGGGACAACGACATTTGGTGCCTCCACCCCATCTACTATACTAGAACTAGACCCAATGTTCAGCTATCCCTGACCCCCTTTCACATTAGTAACTTTGAGCATATGGTTCAATCTCCTGTACCTCAGTTTCCTTACCTGTCCAGTGAGATAACAGTGCCAGTCTTTCAAGGTTAGATGGGTAACCCAGAAACACAAACCGCCAATCACCAGTACTGCTGTTATTGTCAGACAAAGCTCTAGTGTCCCCAAGGGTCTCTGCTCCTGTGCAGGCAGCTATAGAAGGGAGGGCGTTGTCTCTTCCTCTTCTCTCCCTAACCCCCACTCTGTGGCAAAGGACTGTGGCCCAGTGGTCCTTCTGTCTACAGAGATAAGCCCAGTGGGACCCGGGACTAGGCTTCTGGGGGTATGCTAACTCTAGGTACTTGGCTAAGAGCTGTGGAAGCCCCCACGTAGCCATGGCTCTGTCAGTCAGCAATGAATGGCTTGTAGGTTTTCTTTAGCTTCTGTTGACAGAGCCACAGTGGAGAGCAAAGGTGGGAAACTGGGAAACAGCCATATCCTCTAGGACCTTCCCCAGCCTGGAGCTTCCCTGAGGCCTGAGTTCTGAGTCCTGGTCATGAGAGCAGCTGGCATGAGTGGTATATGCACGAGAGGAAGAGAGAGAGAGAGAGAGAGAGAGAGAGAGAGAGAGAGAGAGAGAGACTGTGTAAATGTTGTCTTTAGCCACTAGTCTCCATAACTGGCTGTGGCTGCACTCTGCTCCTTATCTGGGGACTTTGAGAACAGCAGGGTCTGATCTCTTACTCAGGGTTGAGCCACAGGAAGGGCAAAGGTCAACCTCACTGAGTTGCCACAGATGAGCCTTGCTGGGCTTCATGCTGTAGGCTCCTTTCATGGCTGATGAGCAGACATCATGTCCAGCCTGGGCCTAGGAAGCCTTCAGTAGGGATAGGAGGGAAGGCTGGAACCCCAAGCTTCCCAGTGGCCTGGCTAGCCTGGGCAAAGTGGAGGTCACAGCAGGGTAGGAATGCAGGAGATGAGCCAGGTCTGAGAAGACTGAGGCAGCTAATGGGTAATGGGAATGCCCTTGCATTAGACTTCACAGTAAGTACTCTGTCTTCCCTCCAGGTGTTCTTCTGGACATCCAGCAGCACTTTGGGGTCAAGGACCGGGGCGCCGGCTTGCTGCAGTCAGGTGAGGCCTATTCCTACCTCACTACCTGCCTCGGGGTAGTGACCCTGCTCATCCTTCATACTCTTGGTCTAGTCTGTCCCTGCATCAGAGTGAGGGTGGGCATCGCAGCACACTTCCACTACTGCCACCCACACAGGCTCTGTCCTTCCAAGCCTCAGCTTCTTTTCTTATAAAACAAAACACATACATCTGCCTAAGTGGCTATAAGAGACAACAGAGAGCACAGGGCTGGGTTGAAGCCCACTATGGTGACCCTTCCCTTGGGTTCCAAGGCATCATCGGTACCCAGGATCTTGGCCCAGTTGTTAAAGTGAACCACTGATTTGGGTGATGCCAGCTGAGCCTTAGTGACCTACTCCTGTCACTGCCCTTCCCTCCCCGCCTTCACTCTGATCCACTTAGGAATAACCTCTTAAATGACAAGGAATGCCACCACCTGTCAGCTTCTGAGGAACCTGAGGTCCTGAGTATAGGTTCAGCCTAAGGGTCGCTGTCCCTCCTTCCTGGGATTGCAGCCTCCCAAGGTCCATCAGAGGCAAGACCTGAGGTTTTCTACACTATTACAAATATAGCAGAGGCCACAGAGAAAAATCACAGTGCAACTGTCCCAGACTGTCAGTCCCCCTTCTGGAGATAGAAACTATGTCCCCTTATCCTTGTCCTCCCTTTCAGGTCCCCTATAGGCTCTGTACTCTTGGCTCCCTGGCCTCCCCACTGGCTTTGGCTATACCACCATGAGCTAAACTGCTGGAGACTCAATCCAGTATGGGATCTCAGGTTGTCTGGTCCTGACTGGGCCCCAACCTTGCTGTGTGACTCCAGCTTGTCTCTAGGCCCTTGGTTCTGGAGTTCATCTGGCTTTGAGCCCTAGGCAGGCTGGTGTGTGGGAGAACTCTGGTTTGCATTCCAGCCCGTGAACCCTTCCCCAGCCTGGCTGTTCTAGGAGGGTGGGGGTGGAGGGAATCTGCCTTGAAACCTGCCTGACCTGTCTGGGTGGCATTCCATATGCACAATGGCCCCTAGAGCTCATGAATGACATGGCACGCAGCATACAGCCCAGGCCCCTCAGCGGGCACCCGGACCCTGTCCCTGGACAAAAATCCTGGATAGGGGTCTATGGCTTAGAGAGAGACCTACTGATTGGCTCCAAAGACTAAACTAAGTAGAGGCAAGGCCGTGTGGTCCCATGTCCCCATAGTGGTCAGGATCCTACCCTAGCAGCTATTGCCTCCATCCAAGCCCAGACTCTTCTTTCCCCTTCTTGCCTCCCTGGCTGGGCTGCCCTGCAGGTCCCTCCAGGCATTAGGCTCTGGACACAGTTATCACCCTGACCTCTACCTCACATGGTCTCTCAGTTCCCAGGAACCTAGGTGAACCCCATCCCTCTGGTCCTAGCCTTGCTGGTGATCTGGAAGGAGGCTGTACCCCAGATTTTCTCATCAACTACCCTGAGTGTGGTCAGTCCTACCTGGCTTCTCAGGGACATGGGACAGGTATCATCCCCAAAGAATGTGGGAGGTCAAGCCCTGTTTTCTTCAGCAGTACCTCCCAAGCTGGATTATTGCTTCATGAGAGGGCACATGGTCCTTTCTGACCTCCAGGGACCTGGCTGAAAGTGGATCAGTACCCCACAAGTATAGTCTCCTTTGGTTCTTCAAGAACCCTAAAGGCTGTCTTTGCCAAGTTCACTTTCTGGTGAACGAGGTAGTCCAAGGGAGGGGAGTAACTTGTTGAAGTCTTATGGCAGAGGGACCCTGTCTCTGCAGGCTGCTGCCCTTGTGGTTCATGGAATTTGAGTGTTTGGCATCACAGTGTCCTCACAGTGGGTACCTCCCAGCAATCTCAGCATCTCACAAGTCTTTGCCTCGTGGTCTTGACCTGCTGTTCACTGTGACACGGCCGGGATGATCCCTGCAGTATCCTCACCCTGTTGGCCATTTGTGCTAAGAAGCTGGACAGGCTCAACCAGGATGTGACTCAGTGGGCACCAGAGCAAGGCACCTAATTGGCCTGTGCCCCAGGCACCTGTCTCTTCCCTGAGCCCGATAAGGTCAGAGCTGGTAAAGGGCGCCAGCTCGGTGTTGCTGCTTGCCCGGATCAAAGGGCCAGGGCTGAGAACAGCACCAGCTTATTTGTGGGCTCCGGGGGGCTTTGGGGCTAGGAGGCATGTGAGGAGATAGAGGGTTTGGCTTAGACTTGCCCTTTCTTTTACCCCCTGGGAAGGTGTTCATTGTCAGCATCCCCTTGCACACTGCTGCTGGCTCAGCTCTGCCTCTGTAGCAGCCCACGGTAGACCTCTAGCCATTGGGGGAGCTCCCATAGCCCACACGGGAAGGTGTAGCAGCTACACAACCAGTTGCTTGGCATGCCCTGGACTGACTGTTATTCATGTTTAGACCCTGCTGGCAAGCAGATCCCTTGTCTCAATAGGAGTAGGAAATGCTATTCCGTTACCTCTCAGGTGCAGGGTCCAGCGTGGAAGGCTGGAGAGAGGGCAGAGTGTGCACCTAGCTGTAACTGGTGGCAGGTGAGGAAGCCTTCCCTGAAGAGGGAACATTTCAGTAGGGCTTTTTTATGCATGGGAAAGGACATCTGGTCAGTTCATCAGTAGATGTCAGAGCCCCACCCCCACCCACCCACACCTTGCTCTCCAAGCTAAAAAAAATATGAAGAGAAAACCTGTTTAAATTACATAGCCGCACTTGAAAGCTAAAGCTAACAGGGAATTCCCAGGTGCCAGAAGCAAAGAACTGAAGTCAAAAGCTGGTGTGGGAGATGGAGCTGAAGTCATGTTTCAGAGCTTGGAGGGCAGTTATATCTGCTGGGCACTTGGCAGCGTTCATAGTGACATTTTCGCAAAATTTCAGACACATACAACACAGACTAGCAGCGCAGGCTTGCCCTGAATGCTTATAGCTCCCAGTGCATTGCTGCTCACCTTCTAGGTTAGGAGCTTTTTACCCCAAGCTCAGTGCTAGCTTAGACTTCCAGGGTCACAAGGCTGACTCAGTTTCCTGCCAGGACTCAGGCAAGGTCCTGGATCCCAAGCTTGTCCAGGCTGGCAGACAGCTCATCTGGTAGAGGTCCCACTCCAAGCAGATGTTGCCTGCCTGCCTCCAACTTTCTGCAGAGAGCCTGGTGCCAGTCCAAGTAGCCTCAGGCCTGCTACACACTCCTTTTTCCATAGAAGCCATCTGTTTCCAGAGACCCCAGCAAAAGCAAATCCAAGTGGCTCTTTAGGGAAGCCTTTGTGATCCAAAGCTGACATGGACACAGGTGACAATCCTCCCTGAAGACAAACTCAAAGTAAATAGTGTACACAGCAGGACAGAGTAGGTGAAGAGTGTGTGATATAATGGTAGAATGCTTGCCCCACAGGCGCAAGGCCTTGGGTTCCATTCCTAGCACCAGGGAAAAATACAGATGCCAAAGGCAACTCATCTTTGTGAGAGACAGGCAGCTGGTTCTGGAAGCAGCCTGAAGAACTATAAACAATAGTCTTGTTTTTAAAAGATTTTAAAAACAGGTATAACTAGCCAGGCATGGTAGCTCACATCTGAAATCCCAAGCATTTAAGAAGGCTGAGTCAAGAGAATTACTATGAATTTTGGGCTAGCCTGGAGTACAGAATGAATTCCAGGATAGCCTGAGCTAAAGTGAGACTCTGTCTCAAAAACATGTGTTAATGAGTAAACTAGACCCAGTTGAAGAAAAAATAAACAAATTAAAAGATGAATCTGAGGAGTCAGCATCAATGTAACACAGAGAAGGGGCAGTGGGTATGATGTTGTTTGTGATAGAACCTGGTCTTTGTGACCTGTGATTGGTCAGCCGTGACCTTCTGGGGAGAATGGAGGAAGAAGAGGCAGAAGAATCGGTAGACATTTTTGTGAAAGCTAAGCTAAGGTTCCTGGGTTTTTATCTTAGAGCAACTGGAAGGCAGAGAAGGCTTGAGAGCAGGGCGTGTGGTCGTATGCATCAGCATGTTCACACTATTGCCCAGTGCAGGGACGGATGGCAGAGGAGGCTGGAGGCTACTCAGGGCTTGAGTTTGTGGAAGTGCCAGGGTAGGGTAGGGATGGAGGAAGAGCTGGCTCAGAATGAAACTAGACAGTGTCTTCAGGCCTCGCTCTTCTCTGTCTTGATGAGCCCAGCAACATAGTCTGCTTCAGCAGACCGAGGTTCCATGGGTACAGCTAGGCAGCCCCACAGCCACCCTCTAAGGGCCCGCTGTTCAAAGGAGACCCCAAAAGCCACCCAAAAAGCCACCAGAGAGGCCAGCACAGGCTTTCTGTCTAAAGTAGAGCGTAGAGAGAGCAGTAGTGCTGTTCTTCCTGCCTGAGGGCTGAGTGTGGAAGGACCCCAGATGCCACCAGTGGGGCTATGTATGTCCTGTGTCTTCCCCATTGGTTAAGTGGCCTGGGTTGGACCTGGATGGCAGAGGCTGCCCACGTCTGTCTGAGCATCCTCCCTGCCCACAGGATGTGGAGGGTGGTGTGTCTTCTCAAAATAGCAGCCAGCTGGAGTCTGAACTTGGGAAACAGCCTTGGTTCAGCCAGGCCAGGCGAGGGCAGGAGGTAGGCTCCATGGCCACAGTGGCTTCTCTAGCTACTTGCCTTGCCGTCTCCTATTCTGATGCCACTTTCTGGGGTCATGCAGGTCCCATGTATAGTGAGAGTGACATCTACCATGGATAGGGCCATAGCGTCATGATTGCCTGTCAGCATGCAGAGCTCCCCCCCCCCCCCCCCCGTGAGGCCTGCTCTTGCCTTCTAGACATCTGCACACTGCATCCTCTGTCAGCTGCAGGAGGTAGATGACACCTCAGGAATGTCATTCAACCTGTCATCTGTCTTATTTTTCTTTTGTGTTACTGGGGATAAAACCCAGGACCCTGAACTTGGTAGGTAAGTGCTCTGCCACTGAGCTATGTCCTAAGCACTTCTCATTTTACTCTGAAGCAAGATCTTGCTATGTATTCCAGGCTAGCCTGGAACCTG